ATCATTTTAGGTCCGGAGAAGGTTCGTGGAAATGAACTGAGAGTAATTCTAATGCTGAGCTGTTTACACGGGGAGCGTTTGACGTCTTTTTGAATGGCACAGTTCCAGTCTACTCTAGTACATCGCAGGTTGTCTGCGCTATCAAATAGACAGACCTCTGATTGCGTACATAAATTTGATACTTCGTCCCAAGAGTCAAGAGCTACGGATAATTATCACAAAACTCTCTGGCTTGTGAACAACGTTTTGAAACAATTGTTGTTACTGAGGCGGGCCCCGATTATGATAAACCTGTAGCTCCGTTGAACTTAATGACCGGTAGCATATGATCAAGCGCAAAAACATTAAATACAATGTTTTCATCGAGTCCGAACGTCGCTGTTTGCTTCTTTATGTAATCTTTAAATTGTTTTATGCGTTTCAGCCTCTTTTAGCCCACCCATAGAAACTAATTTTTTTCGATACTTATTGAAACTTAAGTTTGTTTGGCCGATTACTCCAAAACAATCAACATTAAACACTCGAAGAACACCAACATGCAGAAACGTCGCGCGTCCAATAGTTTCCAAATTCCGTCTGCCAAATTTGATCATTATGATCATATCAGTGTATGACATCTGTGCCAAACTAATGATGGCCTCCTTGAGGCTCATGAAGGAAAAAGTTGAAAATACTACCAAGGCAAGCGATACTTGAGGCCTGTACGTGCGAGACGACAGTACAACACGACGCATGATTTAGATACAACGGCTGCTTAAATGTGTGTTTCGGAACGTGATTTAATCAGCTTCTTGGGCACAAGTTTGGCTCTAAAGCCTCTTGATGACGGAAATAGAATCAAGGGGCTTACGGGTCTTCGCTTTGCACTGGTCACTTCTTTTCTTCACACCATCCAAACTGACACAAATTAAGGAAGAATTATGATCCGATCGAAGAACCAATTCTCATCTACCATTGACGCCCGAAAGTGACGGTGCCCGATAAAGTACAGTTTCATGACTGACATTAGTTTGTCCAAAATGAAATTGCTTCGTGAGCCACCAGATGACACTAAATTTTGAAAAGGGTCTGCCAAAGCAGTTCGAGTTTGAACAAAAAAATCGTGTACGAGGAAACACCGGACAAGCGGTAAGGGAAGAAGAGTAAAGGAGCTGCATTGTGTACCATAGAAAAAAAGTCTCACTCGCGGGTTTTTCCCTCCGGAATACCAGCTATTAAACCAAGTTGCAGTGCCCCCCCCCCCCCCCCCCTACCCCCGCTCCCCTTAGAAGGGTGAAGGAGTGGGGGCTCATACAAAAGAAACATATTCTCACACGCCGCGGCAAAGGCCGATTTGGAGAGTATGTATAGGAAGCGGTGCACGAAGCGAGTGGGACACCCTGATGATGGTCCCTCCAGCTTAAACATCTCTCAGGGAGGTCCCAAACAGTTGCGTGGACACGTTCCCTCCCTCCGCCTCCGCCGCCGAAAAACAACAAAAAAAAAAAAAACGAGAGCGTCTCGCTGTTCTCGGCCCTGCAAAGAGAAAGCAGGCTCGGACGGGGCCTAGCTCGTACGCGCGGTGCCTCTGACCCACTTTCGGAACCCTTGTTAGCGCAGGAAGAAAACCTGGGCTGACTAATAAATGCGCTACCCAAGATTGGAAGAAGAAGGCGCTCTCTCCTCTTGTCGTTTCGAAGCGCGTGGGTTTTTTCTTCCCCCTTCCACTCTCCCCCGAATTTCGGGGGCGGCCGTATAAAAGTGAATGGTGGCCCCCTTTGGAGCTTCACTTCACTCGCACGCTGCGCTCACGGCCCCTGGTACGTACGTCTATGCCTCTTTTTTGGTCCGTGTGTGCTGCGAAGGATGAACGTGAGTCGCGGTGCGGGTAGGTTTTTAATTTATTAATAGACCTAATTGGGGAGACACGAAGCCGATCTTGTACCTATCTTTCTCTGAGTACCCTCGAGAGAGATCAACTTCGTGATTGTTCCTTTTTATTGGCCAATGTTGCATTCTCATTGGCCGAGGATCAATTAAAATATGCTCGAGGCTCGATAGGCTCTCCGTTTCTGAGGCTGTCCGCGGGTATAGTCAGTTTGATCATTATTTCGCAGTGACTTCAAAACCCATTTTCTTAGGAACCAAGTGACAAGTCGGTTCTAAACATTTCTTAATGGTACAACACTACTGTTACTGAGAGCGTGAAAACGGCAGGAAGGTCTCTCTGTTGTCCCGCCTCTAGTCCGAGACCTTCGAGGAACCTTTGGCGTCTCGTGAGCTTCGAGCGTGCATCCGCAGCCAAAGCACGACGGAAGGCAACGAACGCGTGCTGTCATAGCCTCATCTATACTCACAAAAGCTGGCAGTTCGACGACGGAGCCATAGAGTGCCCGGTCGCAGATTTAGAGCGCGAGAATCTGGTAGCACAGAGCATCAAAGACCCATTTCTCGGGGAACCTGGACGTCAGCGCACAACTTTTGCAGCGGCGAGGACCCGAAACACATTTTCTGGTCCTCATGTGCCGTCGCAGCGGTGAGACGCTGCGTTTCGGCGTCTCGCCGCAGCAGGGCGCCAGTCACAGGGCTCTCCTCTCATCTGTTGTCTGCCGCTTCAACTTTTCCTTTTCGGCGGCCGCTTCTCGTGGCGATCTGCCAGGCTTTGTCAGTATATAGGAGGCTATGGTGCTGGAGGTCAGGCACCCGAAGGAGATGCCCTACCGTTCCCATCCTGCCAGCGTACAGCCCTTACAAAAACGCCATCAAAAGCACCATTGACGGTAGCAATGTTTTGGGGGTCGCCCCAGGACGAAGTGGTGTACGATTGGACTCGAGTCTACGTTGAGCAGTACCGAAGCGGCATCCGTATCCGGCATACGCTAGGAGTGCATGGCCTAAATATGGCGACATCGGATAATTGACGCTGTAGCTAATATATGGCAGATGCTACGCCATCAATGGCCTTCGCTATATATTGATAGCTCATACATTTGAAGCAGCTCTATTATCGCAACATGTTGTTCCTGGTGGTAATGATGAGGCACAACTAGAGTGATGAAGTCAAGGTATTTTGTAAGAACGCTAAACGCCAACCCTACACTCCGAAGCAAAAACAGTTGGCAAGTTCACTTTTCTTGCACAAAAAAACACGGAGAAAGCCATTCACGACGAACAGTAGAAGAAAGCTCGGAATATGATTAGATCAAAAAAATATGTTGTGCGCAGGGACAATGCGCATGGCCTTTTCAGAACTAATCGGATTCGGAGCTTCGCCATTCTACGGGATTCTGCACTCTAAAAAATGTCTGTGCGTCTACTTTTATGCACAACACTTGGAGAGCCAATCACCGCTACTTACGGAGGCAGCTGAGCGAATGACGATGCCGAAACATATGTTTAGACCAAAAAAATGCAGCCTGAGTTGTGACATTAAGCAATGATAAACGCCACGCTTGCATTGCTTAATGTCACAACTCAGACTGCGTTTTTTGGTCTAAACATATGTTTCGGCATCGTCATTCATGTGAGCTGCCTCCGTAAGTTGCGGTGATTGGCTTTCCAAGTATTGGGGGTGCGGCAAAGTAGACGCACAGACTTTTTTTTATAGTGATGTTGCTGTTATCACTCTAAAAAAAAGCCCGTGAGTCTGCTTTCCCGCACAACACTCGAAGAGCCAATCACCGCAACTTACGGAGGCAGCTCAGCGAATGACAATGCCGAAACATATGTTTAGACCGAAAAACGCAGACTGAGTTGTGACATTTAGCAATGCAAGCGTGACGTTTTGCATTGCTTAATGTCACAACTCAGACAGCGTTTTAGGTCTAAACATATGCTTCGGCATTGTCATTCGCTGAGCTGCCTCCGTAAGTTGCGCTGATTGGCTCTCTGAATTTTGTGCGTGAAAGTAGACTCACAAACATTTTTTAAAGTGTAGGTTCGTCGTGATCGGCTGCATCTTTGTTCTGCATAAAGGAGACTCATAGACCATTTTTGTGAGTGGTATGTCATTGGCGCCTTATAAACAAAACAAAGATGCAGAAATGTAATTTATCGAGCAAAAAAAGAAATATCGTCGCTGTATAGAGACTATCGCAAAAAGAAATGTAGGGGAAATTAGCATCTCTTTATCATGAGCCCCCGAAAGTTCTAAAACAGCTAAGCGAGCTCCGTCATACCCGGACCCTGCTGCAATGAGATAATCGATTAGTGACGTTGTAACATAGTAATCTTTCACAAAACATTAGAGTCACGATTACATTTCACCTCTCGGACGTAGTCCTGAAACGTTTTTAAAATATAACAAGACCACAGATAGCTAGTATAGACCTTTTTAGAAAAGTGCTCCTGGCCGGTTAAATTTTCAGTGTTCGTGCGTGTGGCGCATGATTTGCTCAATTTCTGAATTACTACTAGTAGTAAGCGTTTTAAGAAGTAGGGGGGGGGGGGGGGGGGAGGGGAGTGAGAGCCAATCGTGTACGCGCGCTGCCCGCATTTGTCACCGGCTACTTTCCAAATCAGCGAAATGCGCGTGTTGAGCTGAATAGATCACATGCAGGGCTGAGGACGTGTAATTATTGGAATGGTGCATAGCGCGCATGATCTGAAGGGTATCGCAAAGTTCCCCACCATATCCGGATGAGGAACAAATGACACCTTTCACGATCACGATAATGCTTCTTAGTTTATAATTTTTATTTTGCGTTCACGCGGAGATACTTCAAAACGACAAACGTGAAAATGCTCCGATATTTTAGCTTGTTTAACAATACTCACTAAAGTAGAGAAAGGATGTCTCTACATCTTACACTTTTCCGCAGATTGAACCAAACATGTCCTGGTACGTCGTAAGCCTCGTGTGCATCACTCTATTTTCGACGTGTCTCCACGTCTCTGAAGGAGCCAGAACTCTGTTCCCAAGTTCAAGCAGCGGTCCACAGCCAAGTTTCCAAAGTCTTCAGCCTCCCAGCCGCGGCGGTTCACAGTCAAATTTCCAAAGTTCTCAGCCTCCCAGCCGCGTGATGTTCCCGAGTCAGGACCACGCCTTCGAACCTCAAGAACAGCAAGCCTCAGTCGCGTCAGCCTCAACTGTCAACTTCCCAAACACGAGACAAGAAAAGGGTGCCGGCAGCGTCATGTTTCCAGATATGGTCAACAATAAGCCGGTGGACGTTAGGGTTAGGCAGGGCAAAGGCTTCAGTTTTCCTGGAGCAGCCAACAGAGCGACGGACATCCATCTACCAGGGCAAGAAACATCCGAGTCTGCCAGAGCAGCTGCAGGACTACCAGACGCCAGGAACATTATCGGTGCGCTCCTGGGTCTTCGGCAAGGAGGCATCCCGATTCCCTTCGGACACGTCAACATGACCGACATCAGTGTGGCGACGAACAGGGTCACTGACGAGTTATCCAAGAGTCTGAAGATGGACGTGAGGGCTGTGTCCAAGGCCCTGGCTGTTGGCGGCGCCGCCATGGGAACGATGGTGTTCCTCGGAGGCATGGCAGCGATGATCATGTCCGGCCTGGGGTACTTCAACTATCCGGAGTTGTACTCCGTCCATCCGTACAGTACGACGTACGGAACTGCGTACGGAAACCAGTACAGAACTGCTAAGGCGTTGAACGAGAACGGAGCGAAGAAATCTCCAAACCCGAACCTCGTTCCTGCCATCAACGATCTAATCGGAAAGCTGGCCAAGGCGACGCAGGAGTTTGGATCACCGAAATAGGGACTTTTTAGGACAATTGTTATCAGTGATGAACGCTGTAGCCTTTCTTATCATTTCACGGACTGTTAAATGGGCTCTGAGGCATGAAAGGTTAAAAGCTATACTTGATGTAGCCAGGTTTCTCAAAGAGATGGCAATATAGGGTATGACGAACCACACGAAAGCGTTACTCTCAATACTTTGTTCCACATCCTGAAGGGACATTGCGTGAGCAGCGGCCTCCCTGTGATGAAGGTACATTTTTAGATATAAAAATGTCCGAAAGTTGTCACTGGGAGTTTGTAATATAAATCTGAAAATGGAGGCTGCGCTGCAACAAAATTATATTTCAGTGATAAACTCTTGCCACGAGACTACTTTATTCAAATACAATGCGAAGTTCTAAGAGGAAAACTGCATTGATCTCAGTCTGATACCCCAGCTCTCTAAACGCTTCAACATGTTTTATTCAAATACTCATTTGAAATAAGATTTCGCAATCATCTCTTCATTAACAAAAAAGTTCTCATCTCTGAAAAAATCCCAAGTTTTCACTTTCTTTAGAAGCCTCCAAGTGCCTTGAGCTCATTCGAACGTTAGAAACGTTTCTTATATTGGAGTGAGAGTGATGATGGCGCTATAATGTCGGAACCTAAGAAAGCAAATCGGGTAGATATCCCGCTATAACCAAGGCTTTAATCCAACGACTTAACATAACTGTTTCCATCATCGCGTGCGTAGCCCATTGTTTTCTGTTATTTATTTTCCCAGTACACAAAAATAAAAGACGTCATATTTCAACAAGGATGTACGTGATGCTTCTGCTTGTCTTCTTCTAGTAATACGTGCATTAGTCTGGCATATACAGTATATTCACAAACTTTATTTCAGGCGTAATAATAATAGTAGTACTTGTACTTATTTGAGGGGGCTGGCGGCGCCACGCTCTAAAACCAGAGTGGCAATGCTCGTATACAGCATACACAAGACACGGCGCTCGCTGCACAAAGGGCGAAAGAATTATTTTCGGACGCGTCTCAAGCGTTAATTTGCTTCTCATACAGTATATATGTATGCTTCGGGACATCTTTGCAGACAGTTTTTGAATGACCAATGTGACCGACACGCAAGGAATGTCTGAGACAGTGTCGTCAGACTGTCGTTTGTATCATATGTATTATAGCAGTGGTAATGTCATGAGTAGAGTATGGCCAGATGCATTGACCATGGGTTTCAGGGGTCGTGCATTTCGAAGATTGCCTGTTGTGGAGAGACTACAACGTAATCGTGACTCCAACGGTTTCGCGGTTCTGCCTCGGCAGCTATTTTGTCAGCACGCCGTGCATCTTCTGTACTTGTTTCTTTGGATGCAAGAAATTCGAAGTAGTTAGTCTTCAAGCGTGCTGGCACCGAGAAAACTGCCGACACCGGAAGTCATGGGTTCCTTTACTAACTTTACTTTGAATGCACTTTATTCAGACAAACGTTTCATTAAACAGTCGTTCGGCCGTAGAGGACATGTTCATCCAGTCACTCCGGATGAACATACCTTTTCCGCCAAATTAATTTTTTTTTCTTTACCGAAACAGAGAACATTATGGTAAGCATAAAATATAAGCTACTAAGGATATGGTTGACACTGCAGACCAAGAAGCAAGAAAACCAGACGTTACTTTTTTCTCGATGTGAACTATGTTATTGGGCATGAGATTGAACTATAGGGGGCGCTTCGTCGAGCTTGTTGTCCACACAGCCCGGTGTTTGGTAGCACAGCAAAACAAAGAAATTGAACTTCGCCTAGCACGGTCTTGGCACGAGCGCTTCGCTTTGACCAGTGCTTCGGTCGCACGAGGAGCGGCCTTCGAATCGTCATCTTGGATTTCTCTGATTAGCAATAAACAAGAAAATGCGGTTTGCTGCCCATACAGCTGAAGTATGCTGCTAGAGGCGTGGCTGTTCGATCTCCACACCAATACTCCGTTCACTCCTAAGCTGAGGCTGCCGTGGGAGCCATGTACCCGCCGGACCAATCAGGCGCCTCCCTCTTATCACCTGACCCGGCTCTCTGCGCGCGGGTATGGGCCGGAGCGTGATGACGTGGCGTAAGAGAGGCGTATGGCATGTCTAAGGAGGATCTGGCTTGTACTAAAAGGCTCAGTTTATGGGTGAATTGTGTAGCACACTCAAAGAAATGGGACAAGGGGTGTACAGGGCTACACCCCTTGTCCCATTATGTAACTCCCCAAAACTACATTTCGTCGTTCAGTCAACTGACGTCGAGCTGGCGATACCAACTTTTACGAGCGGCTTGATAGCTGTTGGATATACCGTACTAAATAGCTCATGTGCATCTCAAAGACTACAAGAAAAAAAAATTACTGAGGTTTTGCAGCAAGGCCAAGAAAACCTTGATTGTCTTAATGTAGCCTTTAATGAGTACATCAGCTATTTTAATAAGATGTATCGCTCGACTTTCAACCCGCCCGTAAAAATAGGTATTGCCAGCTCGATTTCCGTGGACAGAACGTCGAAGTGTAGTGTTTTGGGTGTTACATATGAGACGAGGGGTGTACCCCTGTACACCCCTTGTACACCTCTATTTCTTAAAGTGTATCGTTCCCGGCAGAGAAAAATAGCGTTCACCTAAATGTCTGACGTCATGAAGAGATTGGCTCCAAAGATGCTGTAGTTCACTGTGATGTCGAGCTCGAGTTAACCTTTTTTTTTCCTTTTATAATAAAAACAAACAAACAAACCTTTAAAAGAAAAAAACACATTTTCACCGACTTTTTCACCACCGTCGAGAAGGATGGACAAGTAATAAATTATCTTGTCAATGTAGCGATGTGTATACGACCTTTAATGCGCCTACGTTATTTCCTATCATTTATTTTATTTCGAGCTGTTCTTCCGAGAGATGTTGAGCGGCTTAGGCATACATTGTTAAATGACGGTATCATATTTTTTTGTCGAGTTAAATATTAAAAAGGTTAGATGAATAAAAAAAAAACGATATGTTATTGGTGGTTCTGTGCTCAATCAGTGTAACCATTTCGTTGAAAAATGTTTCTAAAACCCGCCATATACATATTTACTGTGACTTTCATGGCTTAACTTCGAAGACTCGCTCATTCCATGATTCATGGGTATTTACACTGAATGCACTTCGTGTCAACCGCACTTTAAAGGAGCGATGCAACAATTTTTGTACTTTGCGCAAATATCGCTTAAAACGGATCCCTAACGTTAATGACCTATGAAACACGCGTTCGTTTTTCACCCCACGCAATACAAGTCCCAAAAAAAAATTAAAGAAAAACGAGCAGCGTTCACCCCCTCAACTCGCAGCCAGAACAAGCGGCCACGTGATCTGGAGCCGATTATATGCCGCCAGTGTTGATCATAGCCACGCGCTGGGGTTGGCAAAGTGCAGGACACGCGCTGAGTTCCAGACATTGTTATGGCTCGGCTGTTTTCGTCGTTGCAGCGATTGGACACGGGTCGCTACCCGAATGCTTCTCGAGCTAGCAATTACCACGAGCCCAAGTCGAGTGCCCACGCAATGCTCGGGTCCAATCTATGAACCGCATTCAAATATCGTCACTTGGGTGTACTGCGATCCCCACGTTACGTCATCAAATTTTGCAAAGGGGAGATTGAATGAAAATGATCGCTTATGTCCTTGAAATTACACCGCAACAAAGGAGTTTCTTGGCCAGTGGCGTTGCGTGTGAGTATCCTTGAGTCCCAGGTATGCCATTAAGCTCGTGTAAAGTGAAAAACAATCCAACTTAATATCGTTGCACCGCTCCTTTAAAAGAAAAACTCCGTGAGTGCCCATTCTTGCAGAACGCGGGGAGAGCCAATCCGGGCGAACAACAGAAGGAACCCTTTGAACGACCAGCTCGGAATAAGATTGCATCTGGATAGAGGCCATGTGCACATGGACAATGGGCAAATAAAACGGCATGCACATTGACCCTACGCACATCGTGTTTCTTTCTGGTCTAATTGTATTCCGAGCTTGGTCATTCGCTGGCATCCTTCCGTTGTTCGCCGTGATTGGCTGCCTCCGTGTTCTACAGGAAAACGAACTCACACTTTGTCTGTGTGGAACACGAGAGGACATGGTGTGACAGTAGTCGAGATTAAAATACGACAGATTATGAAATATTTTATTGCGCCCGCACTCGCGCCAAATAAATAACGAAGGGATCTATTTACAAAAAACAAGAGAGGGGAAGGGGCGGAAGGACGCGATGTAAACAATACTGTGAGGAACGCTGTACGAACAGCGAGGGGATAAGAGGTGAGAGTCATAGAGGGGGATCATTGGGGAGCGGGGAACTTGAGATAGAGAGTAGGGGATGACTGGGAATGCCCTGTATGTGTGGTTTCGATCTTCCTGCGCACTGTCCTGCTGCCTGCGATCTTTGTGGCCGGCACGTTATCCTTGCTGGGTGGAAGGCTTGGCAGCGGCCGCGGCCTTGAAGATCTGCTGCTGCTGGTAGTGGGGATACCTCTGGCTGCTGGTCTGATGCTGCTGCTGAGGCAAGGGATGCGTCGTCTGTAGCTGGAGAGAAAGAGGGTGCATCTTGGTTAGAACGGCCAAGCAAGACTGAGTTTTGAATGCTGGATGTAGAGTAAAGGACGTTGTTCTCAAACGAATAGGGCTACACCCATAAAAACCTTGAGACCTGTTGTTTGGTTTTAGAGATGCCAGTTTCGTTCAAGCATTCTATAATCGTAAGAATGAAATGTTGTATTATACGGAGCGAAACAGAAGGAGAGGAGGAGATGAATGCGTGCGGTGACATCGGGTGGTGAGCTCTGAATGAATGGATTAGTGGGTAGGCACAAAGGCTTAGCTGTCTTTTCCTCTAGACACTGTCCTTCTCCAATCAGGGCGAACAAGAGCGTCGTCTGCTCTCGCTCAGAATCTGGCGTCTGAACGCCGAATGCCAGACTCTGCGCGAGGAGCAGACGACGCTCTTGCTTGCTCTGATTGGAGGGAGACGGTGCGTAGAGCCAAAGACAGCTAGCCTTTGCTCTTACCCACTAATCCGTCCAATCAGGGCTCGGAGCTCTGACGTCACCACACGAATTCCTCTCCTCCTTTCCCTGAGTACCTCTCCGTATAAATTTTTGTCGGCACGAATAAATTTTAGCGCGTGATGTTTTGCGGATTCGCTTCTTTGTGACCGGAAACAGTGAAAGTGTCCTCTGACCATGCAGGTCACGCATCCGTATGCTTACAAGAAATTGATACCAGCTTCCAAACTTACGTATCGTTTGTTCATTAATTACTGGTATCTGCACTTTGTAGTGCTTATTCAAATGTGAACTTCTTTTTTCTTTCCAAATGTTCTACGCGGTGTGCCTGGTAAAAAAGATAGAAAAAACAGACAACTTTTTTGTTGATAAGCGTCGAAACGGGTTTGCAGCCTTACGCTAGGTTCCTCGTTTGCCTTAGTCGTTCTACGTCTGCTCTGTGGTGGAACAGCGTCAGCTTATCTTCAAGTATATGCGAAATGTTCTCCGATGGAAACACGTACTGTTTTGGAACAGCGTCAACCTATCTCCTCGTAACTAGGGTATCTTCCTCGATACGCATACGTACCAGGTCGTACTTCACTTGCGCTCCGTCAAGCATCTGCATGAGCTCAAGCACCTCCCTGGGCAGTTCGGCGTAGCCATGCCGCTTGGCAAAGCCGAACACGTTGGGGATCTGCGAGACCACCGAGGGCACCATTCGCACCAGGCTCACTACCCCAGTGGCCACCAGGAACGGGACCACCATGTTGGAGATGATGGGCTCGAAGCGGGACAGCATGCCCATGCGCGGAGAGCTGCTCAGGGACCGGCCTTCGCTGCGCTCTTTGGAAGGCTCCACGCTGCGGGCCTCGATGCTCAGCAGCAGCGGGATTAGAGCCAAGGTGCAAAGGCTCAGGAGCATCTGGAGCTTCATCTTGACTGTGTTCGTGGGTTGAGACCCAAAGCTCTAAGGAACAAGGAAACAAAGTCTTTATTAACTCTTTCAGTGCCATTCCGTGGGTAGAGACCTATGGCTCTAAGGAACAAAGAAGCAAGATTGTTATCAACTGTTTCGATGCTATTTTGATTCTGTGTTTTGAGACCCAAAGCTTTAAAGAACAAAGAAGCAAAGTCTTTATTAACTCTTTCAGTGTCATTCCGGAGGAAGAGACCAAAGTCTCTAAGTAACAAAGAAGCAAGATTGTTACAGTTTGTAATCAACTGTTTCAATGATATTTTGAGTCTGTGGGTTCAGGCCCAAAGCTCGAAGGAACAAAAGAGCTATTTTAATGTAATTCTGTTGCCGTGTAACCCCCCCCCCCCCCCCCCCTAATGAATATTGTTCTTTTACGGTTTTCTTTGAAGTGTGAATGGTTTACCAAACACGTGCAGCTCTGATAAAACAAGACATCATAAATCCTATATTATAAACTTGAATACGCCGGCCGATTTAGACGCATTGATTGTGTAACTGCAGCCGCTTTGAATGCTGAGGTCACAAGCCTTCTGTTATTTTGCTGGAGTTTCTTTAATGATTGAAGATTCCGATGACGCCGTGAATTGTGTCAAACTAATTACGTACTCAAAATGAAAGATGTACGAGATTACGTAAGCTGTTTGAATATTCGACGGCCACAATAAATTGAAACTGGTCGTCAACGGCAGTGTAGGACGTGCCAGATATGCGCCTTATGGATACGATACGAATAGGCAAGGATTTTGCTTCTGATAATTCATTGGTAATATAATCACGGGTCACTGTCACTAGTCGTAAGCATTGAGCTATCATGTATAACTGGAATGCATATTGCTTTTGAAGCACTACTCATCAGTTGCAGCCTGACCGTCTAACAAGAGTGTGTTATTATAAGGTTCAATTAATCAAATGTTTTATAAAATATATACTTTTGTTTCGTATAAAACTTGTAAAAGCTAATACCACACTTTTTTTTTCAAAAACTACGCCTGCGTTTTTTGGGCTTATAGATATGCAGTATACGCGCTCATTCATCACCCATTGGTTATATATCCTCCGTTATTTAACAATATGATTTACAATTAATTTTTATATGTCGTATTTAAACACTGCTATTGGAGAAACCCGGTGAACGGTAATTAAACCGACGAGAACCTTAAGACTACTAAGTGTGCTTAATATGGTTATTGGGTAATATATGCTGAAGGTTCCCAGGGTGGCAGTGTTATCTTTTGGAGCCTGTGATGGCAGTTGCACCGTCTGTCATGCCGTAGCTGTGTCGATTCTTATTCCGGCCATGCGGTCACAAACTACCCAGCATTCACCCCGGTGCCACGTTTATGGAAAGAGCTGACCACTGCCTATGTAGCAAGGAGTCATGATAATGTCCCACTCTGTTGGCTATATCTATAAGTTCTTCTAAGGACAAGCGTTTCATTCACCCTAGCGAGAGTATCACATGCAGAGAGTTAATCGTTAAACAGTGTATTGATGAAAAGCGAGATTAAAAGTTGGTTTGTCTATGACATCTTGATGACTTTTTGCAGAGAAACAGTCTACACGACGTAGTGCGTTCTTCAATCACTCTTATTTGAGACGCAAACTCGTGCTTGCGTCTCGTCCTTTATTTAAGATATAAATGTATTTCTTTGAGTGTCATGAGCTATTACTTTCTTGTTTTGCGTGTTCATCGATGTCGTGACTAACGCTGAAAGCACCAACGTCCCTTTATGAATAAGTCGCTACTATATAGCAATACCAGAAAAGAACTTAAAGAGCATTGGCTTACTTTTATCGCTACATCGATTCGAAAGTACTAAATAAAAAAAAATAACTCCAAAATCTAGCTCTAATTAGACTACGTAATGCCCTTCGTACTCAGTCAACGCATTCTCCAGTGCGTGTCTGTCATTTTGAATAAAGCACCTAGAGAGGGACTGAACATTTGGCACAAGTCAACTGAGGCCATGGTGGATACACCTGACAAATTCTTCGTTGAGACGGACTGAACCGTAATCCATATGGCAAGAAGCAAAAGACCTGTCTTTGGCCCGCCGAAGTGATTTGGACACTTCCTCATCAGATGAGCATCGGCGTGTTGAGACCGCGAGCGCGAGCGCTCTCACCTGAGCTCAAGAGAATCCTCCTCAGGGGTCTATTCCAGGAGGTCGTCGTGCGCTCTCTCCGGAGACAGCCAAGTGGTGGACAGGAAGCTCGAAAGGCCGGTAGCGATGCAAAGGCACGACCAGTCGGTTCGCGCGGAGAGCTGCTCTTTTTAAACGAGCCTCGCACACGGCAGCCAGAAACAAACACAAATTCCGGGCAGGCCCTTATATACGGGAACGACCTTGAACTTTCAACCTCAAAAACCCGAAGCCGCGAGAAGGAAGCACACCAATGAGGAGTAAGGAGGTAGGCGCCTTGCTCTTTTTTCTTTTCTCCTACTCTTTTTTCTCTCTTTTCTTCTTTTTCTATCTTCCGCAGAGTCTCCGGGAGAGGATGGAGAAGATGACGCTAGCGGCGTCTAGAGCAGCGGCCGAATCTGAAGGGACTCGTCAGGCAACCCATGCCTCTTTCCGAATACGAACCACACTGGCCGCTCCGTCCTCGGATGGACCGACTCGGAGACTCCAATCACGCTGGTCCAATCATGGGCGGTCAATTTGCTGCGTCACTCAGGTTTTTGATCAGGTTAGCCAATGAACTGTCAGAACGCCCGCTGAAATATTCGTCCGGCTCTGCCTATCAGCATTGTTACGATCGCTTGTGCCCATTTAAGGCTCGATTACGATCACTTGTAGGTTTTAACTAATACAGCTTTCAATCTTTTTTTTTTCTTTTTTTTTTTTTAGTATTTGACATCGAAAGTTACATCATTTAACATTCAGAGAGTATCGTTTGGTTCCGTTACGCGGACTACCTGGCAACGTGGTTATTGCGGTTCGCAACCTCGTCTTCCGGGTGCAGATCTTAAGAAACGCATCCCAGAAAGATCAAAGTTTTATCTGGATATGTGTTGCTTGAGTAAAACTTCACCACTCTAGCTGCGAAAAAAAAAAAAAAAGAGGGTAAGTTTGAAGTTTTTTTAGAAAGTTGCGAGTACTAGTCACTTCTTCAACCTTAAACTGCATCAAAGTAGCCCCTCCTGATTACATGCACACACAAAAAAAAAAACTGACAGAACAAACACAAAATCAACAATAAAAGCGAATGATTGTGAGTGATCTGACCCCTAAAATGGTAATAATAAGAAAAACTAAAGAAAAAGTCAGCCAGGCTGACTGTTTTTATACAGACATGTGTGCTTCTAAGGAAAAAATAAATAGCGACGATGACGATGATGATATCTGATCCCTATAATGAAAAAAAAAAAACTGAAGAACAAGCCTGGTTATGCTGACTGTTTTTTTACATACAGGGTGTCACAAAAGAAAATTTACACGGTCTTTTTTACCGCAAAAATAAACTAGGCATCGCCGAACGCTCATTCTCCGCCCAAAGGTAGAGCTAGAGGTCACAACCAGATGTCGAAGTTTCAGCCCGATCCGATAACTGAATCAAAAGTTATAAGTGATTTTCTTAAAATGTCAATGGGAAAATGGAGCCCATTTTTGCCCGTTGTCGGTTTCTGGTGCCATAGAGCCCCATGTGTTTGAAAACCCGGTCGGCCGCCATTTTCCCATTGAAATTTTCAGAAAATCACTTATAACTTTTGATTAAGTTATCGGATCGGGCTGAAACTTTATAATCTGGTTGTGACCTCTAGCGCTACCTTTGGGCGGAGAATGAGCGTTCGGTGATGCCCAGTTTATTTTTGCGGTAAAAAAGACCGCGTAAATTTTCTTTTGTGACACCCTGTACATCTGTGCCCTCAAGAAAAAATAAGTGGCGATGATGACGACGACGATGATGAGGATGAAACTATGTTCAAGCCCGTGCGTATGCCTGCTTTCTGTTCGCTCCACCTGCAGGCGAATCCGAGAACTTGCGAGATCGGGGTAAGGAGGTGGCAGCTACCCCAGAAATAAACAAACAAACAGCTGGATGGATGAAACGTTTCTTGGCGTGCCCAACGCTGGCGCTCGAAGATTCCCTGGTCTGGAACGTAGTCTCAAGTTTCAGTCGGTCGCGCTAGGCGCCCGACTGACCACAAACGAACAAGGCCGCCGTAATGTGTACTTGTTACGAGGATTCTTTTTTTTTTTTTTTTTTGGGGGGGGGGGGGAGAGGGGGGTTTGGGGAGGGGGGGGGGGGGAGCATTGTCTTAAAGATCGGTGCCTGCTTCGCGAGGACGAGAGGATGGACGGACAGCGAAGCGTTGCAGGGCGGAAATGCATATCGGGCTCTAGGTCGAAGGGAGCTGGCGTGCGAGCTGTTTTCGGACCCAGTTTCTTTTTATAAGTTATTTTTTGTTTTGTTTTTTGTTTTCTCGTTTCTTAGGGCGCGACTTAATCTCCCTCTTCTGGCGTGAAAATGTCCGCGCGAACGCATGCGCATGTGGATTTGCGTGGAAGAGGAAAATCACTCCTGAAGCTTCTCTTGCGTGATGGGAGTTCTACTCACCTAGAATTTGAGTGTACCATCTCATAAGTTTTTCTTTTCCTGGTTTATTTTTCATGTTGTTTTACTAATTCTTTTTTACTTTGTTGTTGTTGTTTTCTTCGTTGTTTTTTTTTTTCGACTGTGTTTTTATGTTTTAGATTGGGTGGTTGTCTTAGTTTTGTTCGGCATCAACGAGCTTACTCGGGTAATTGACCGCACCAAATAGTCACCCCTGGCTCTGTCTATTTTTGCTTTTGTATATTTTACGTTTCTCTCTTTGTTGTATTTTATCCCGCAAGCTGCTTCTTTGGTAGTACATATAACTGAATTATAAACTTTAAAAAAAAAGATCATCCCTTTCCGAATGACCCTGAAAACCTTGAATCTGTAACAGTCAGATTGCATCACGGTGGTCC